CCGGGCAGCAGCCCGTCGCGGCGGGAGCGGAGCTCCGCGGGGGCCGGGGGCAAGGCCCTTCCCCACCGCCCCCAGCCTTGCACTGCTACGTACCGCCGAGAGGCTTGGAGCGGGGTCAGTGCTTCATTAACAATCCTGGCGGGCCGGAAACGGAGGATTTAGGCTGTCATTAGGGCACTAGCTTGGCCAGCAAACTTCCTCTTGAGTGTTGAGTCTCGTGGGTTAAAGTCCTGCAGCCGACTGATGAGCGCGGTTGAAAGAGATGCCCCTGCTTGCTTGAGTATCGCTTGGTTGGCGTACTTGTGGCAACTTCAGTGTTTGGAAAGTGTAGCACAAACCAGACCGTGGCCCCACGGTTTCTGTAGCGCAGTACATCAAAACCTCCTGCTCAACTAGACAAAACTACCTGCAAAAACAGCACTTGGTCTGAGCCTGGAGTGATGTGTCATCTGTGCCCGTGTAAAGTACTGCTGAAATAGGATAAGAAAATAGAGAAATCTGTATTCTCTTGCAAGAGCACGTGATTTGTGTAGATGCCTACAAGTGGCTGTCATTCTGTTGGATTCAGACCAAGACTGCTGCCCTTGTTTGTAGTCTTATTCTTTATGTAACCATATGTGATGTTTAAAGCCATGCAAATATCATCTTGGGTTTTATGTCATTAGCATGCTGGTTTGATTTGTTACGTTCTTCACCACTGTATTCTCCTTTGTCTTCTGTTAGCATAGGCAAGCAAGTTCACTTTTTTTTTTTTTGTCATTAAACAAAACCTATGTCTTTTGCAGGGAGCAGTAAATGGATTCTCACTGTTAGAAAAAAGAAAATATTACCTGCTTCAAAAAAAAAGATCCTTTATTTCAAGATTTAATTAATCCATTTTGCTCCTGTATATTGGTTTGGCCTTGATACGTGTTCAGTTTCTGTGACATTGACTACTGCGTATTTGAAGGCAAGGGAACTTGCCACGGGACGGGGAAGAGTGACTCTCAGCTACAACTAATAAAATGCTTGACTAGATAAAGCTTTGAGCAACCTGGTCTGGTGACGTAGCTGGCCCTGCTTTTTGAGCAGGCGGCTGGACTGCGTGACCTCCTGGCATCCCTTCCATCCTGAATTATTCTATGATTCATTACTAGATCATGTAAGGAGTGCCTCATTTAAATAGCTAGTGCTTTAGTTGAGCTGTCAAATCTTGGCCATCATGCTGCAAAATAACATCTACGTGTTAAATCTGTTTCCTTTTGGCCACTTGTAGATAATAGGAAACACCTTACAGTTTCTCCACATGTAACAAAATAGTGTTATTTGGCTGCTGCCATTTTGCTTTGAGACTCACACGCACTTACTGGCTGTTTTCAATAATATCAGTTAATGACAAGTAGGCAGGGTGTCATATAATGTATACAATTTGTGGCAATGCACCTATATTGTAGAAAAAGTACATCAAGGGATAGTATGTGAGTGAGCTCCTAACAATTACACTTACAGAGCAGGCTGACTCTTAGGAAAACTGGTTTCAGATAGTCTAAATGTTAGTTTGCTCAAATTTATCTTGTTGTATGTCAATATTAAAACCGTGCAAGAAGAGGGTATGATAGTATTTAACTTGGCAAGGGATTTAACTTGGTAAGGGACTGACTTACAATTTTCAGTTTCAATGTTATGGACTTCAAAATGACAGCCCTTCTTTCAGTGTTCCCTGTATAAGACTGAGTCTAGGAAGTGGATTATTGCCTGTATTTCCAGGCTGCGGAGTCAGCAACTGCCCGTCAGGAAGGATGGGGGAGGAGAGGGAATCCTTGCCATTTATCAAGGGGCAGCTGAGGCTTCAAATTTGGCCCTCTGACAAGAAAAGATGGTTGTCCCATTTCTCAGGATTTGGTCTCGTTCTCTGGTAAATCATAGTAAAATAATTTTGCTGCCAAGATTGTTTAAAAGCAAATCCCTGCTTCAGGTTTATGTTTAAGGGTAGGACTTACATACTTCATTCTCTTCACGTTTGTAAGACTGCTCTATGAGCATCGGACTGACTGTCTGATGGCTGTTTAATATCGTTAATTAGGTTGAGTTAACACTGGGGTCTTTAAAAATGTCAGCATCTTTCTTGTTTGCCTTCAGCCCAAATGAGTTTTCAATTCACTGTTCTCTGCATTTCCAGATAATTAAAATCCCTGAAAACGTGTTTGCAGCTGACACGTCAAAGACATTCGGAGTTCCAGCTAGAAACCAAGAAATGCCGGTTGCGTCTAGAACATCATGGCCAGTTCAGGTGGGGTCAGTTTAATAAGTCAGGGATGCGAAGGTGGGGAGAAAAAAGAGGATGAGAGAGTCTGGGAGAGGAGAATTGTTTTAGGAGTTCTTTCTCACTGTACTCAAATATGAGTCCGAGGAAGAAAATCCAAGCCTCTGTTAATATGTCAACATTTTCTGGTTTGTTTGAGCAGAGCCCTCAGTGCTGTGGGAAAGTCTCCTAGGCACCAGTGTTTTAGCACAGAGGCCCCAGGTCTGCTGCTCAGCTTTCCTAGCAATAATCCTTTTCTCTTCCAGGCTTTTGGTTAACTCACCTGCAGTGGCCAGTTCCTGGTCATACCAGTGCCCAGTATGCTTTCCATTTGCGGCTGTGCCCCTATTCATCATTGCTTTCTGTTGCCCCTTTGCCTCTGTGTTCATAGCTGCTTTGCTTTTGGTTGTTTGGGGGGCTTTTGAACAGTGGTTTGAAACATACTTTTTACTTTCTTGAAGTTACTCCAGGGTTTTGAGTTTTGGCAGATGATTAGCTTAGTATCTGCAGGGGACTCATCATCACTTACCACTGGGGAATGTTAGGAACTGATTTAACTCAGCCCATGAGCATTAGGAAATGACATATTGGTGACAGCCTCCCCAGCAGTTGGTGTTGCAAATAATTTTGCTGTGAGTGTAGACTATTAATTGTTGCTAGGTGCTTTCCAGCTGGAGGAAGCCAGACTATCACTAAGCACAGCACACAGCCTGAAGCAATAAGGGGAAGGAGGGGATACAACAAAGTGATTGGGTGGAGAGGGGTCTACAGCTTCTCGTGTTAAAAACAAAATGCTTTTTTTTCTTTTTTAACTCAACACACAAAGTTTCTCTGCAAACATTTAACTCCGTATCTTCCTCCCACCCAGCACTCCGCTTATTCTTGAGCTGCTCACTTGAAACAAAAAGTAGAGAAATCAGGCAGCTTCTTGTGTGTGTCACAGAAGAAAGGGGTCTTCATGAAGCTTTTAGAAGAGAAGAAAAATGTGGTTTTCTTGGTGTGTTTTCAATACTTGAGAGCCTTCCTTTGGTCCTAGCGACAGGTGATGTTGAGTGTGCTTTTTATTGAAAGTACTTTGGCTCTTCGAACAGTAAGAACAAAACCGTTCTCAGTTTTGTTTTGGCCAAGGGGAAAGGATTAATCCTAGTGAGGTGGCCGCTTTCATATTAGGGAGATGGCCACTTACTCCGTTGAAGAGGGAGCTTATGCAGCTTTAATGTACTATGAAGGAGGAGGCAGCGCTTCAGCCCTGTCCTCCCACAAGCTCTTCCTGTCGACTGTTCCTCCAGTACGTTGTCCTCACGCTGCACTTCCCACAAGAGGCTCGCTTCAAATCAGAGTGAACTGATGAAATCAGTTTGCATTTAATTAAGCAGCATCAGCAGAGCTGGGTTTTGCAGTCCACCCTCTCCGCCTTTAATTTTTACTGCACCACATAAAAAAGGTATGGAGAATAAGGGTTGAGATGGCTCCTGATATGAGGCACAAAATTTACACGCCCCCAAGGGCTTGGTTGGTGGGCAGCTGCTTCTACAATCTCTCTCCTCTTCCACTTTCCAGAAAACAAACTGCACTGGGTCCGTTGCAGAAGAAAATAGCGTCCCGAATTTTCCTCTTGAAGAGGCAACGGCTGTGCACGAACGTGCAATACCAGGCAGGCTGAACCTGCATCCCACTCTGCCCAAATCTTAGGCTGGATAGGTTAGGGCACGGAAAGACAAAGGGAAAGGATAGAGTTTTTATTCCTCTTCTAGAACTGTTGACATTTTGCCTTTTTTTTTTTTTCCTTTTCTTTAAATCATACCACCCTATAAATGTGTTTAACAGTTCTGAGGAGTTTGGCTATGTAAATGCTTTCTCTCTCCAGGTCAATTTTAATGTTATCTTTTAAAAATGTGATTTTTATACCCTGGTGCGGAATTACTTAAGCCCGTACACTCTGTGGGGTTGTCAGTGTTTTGAAAATTAAGCTGTGCTATTTTTGCAGTCATGTGTATGAGTTGGTAATTTTCATGCAAATCACGGTGTCTTAAAATAACCCAACATACAGAAGAAACGTCGAGTTTCCTTCAGAGGAGAGCCTTCAGCTCAAAGTTTGAATTTTAGTACCTGTTTCGAAGCAGGCCAAACGGAGTCTTTACAGCCGCTTTAGACGGACCAGGACTATGTGCAGAGCGCTTAAGCAAGGCTCCATGCTGCATTTACAATTGCTTCAGCGTTGAAGAATAAAAACAACTTTGAAATGGTTTTCAGAAGCTGCGGTGCGGGTTTCTTGGTTGCCTTCTCCTCGGGCAGTTCAAGCTGCTTTTCAAGTTTGTGAGCACCACGGCGAAGCTGCAGAATTTGCCTCTCGCTCCCGTGCAGCCGAGTTTCACTGTCTCACTTACTGCAGCAGCAACCGACAGCTCCCGGCCGGCCGGGAGCCCCGTCGCGGAGAACCGCCGAGAGAGGGGCTAATCCCCCCCGCGAACAGCTTGCCATCACCCTCCCAGTCAACTGTTTCCATTCGGTTGTCTTAAAACTGTCCAAACACATCCGCTCCGTTTAGACTGAGTAAATATTTTTTCTGCTGATGAAAAAATGCCAGTCTGGGTTTTCCGTTTCCCAGCTAGCAGATCTAGCATCCCTAGACAGATAGACAGACGAAATCTGTATTTTATCTATATAATCTATATTTTAGGTATATATATTTTATGTATACATGGATATGTATTTTTTTAAGTAACCACAGCACGGGTTAAGGCGAGCAGGCGTTACCTGCGAGCTGCTTTATCCCGTCACTGATTTATTGGGGGGTGGGATTTGGATTTATTATGGGGTTTATTATTATTTGTTATTGGATTTGGGAGGGAGCGGGG